TTCCCTGCCCTGGGAAAGGACAGATCTGTCTGCCATCTAACTCTGGTTTAAACTCTAACACTTCCCACCATTTCTTCTTTTGCCAAGTGGATCCCAAACCGGAGGCCTTTCAGAGAAGGCCAGCTCACCCAAGACACCAAACTAAGTACAAAGAACTTTCCTTGAGCTGTGGCGGCAGCTGGCCCATGATGGGGAGTAACTGATCACTGACATTGTTTAGAACCACCAGTGCGTGGTGATGATAAAAAGAAGACTGACTTTCACTGGGCTTCATTTTTGCTTTTAAATTCTCTGCAGACCACGCACACCACCGTGGTCTGCACCCAGGGGACTGCTCTCACGCCCCCTGCCGCCTTGCAGGCCACTGCCCTGGATGCTCTACGACTTCTTCAGCCAACACCTTGGCCAACAAACTGCCTGCTCTGCAGATACTTCCTTAAATGGTGTGCCCGGCACTTATCCGATCAGAGATCAAGATTGCGCTTTTTAGAGATCGGAGTTCAAATGTCCATCGGGTTCAATCAGTTGACTAGGGAGAAGATGAATTGCATTTTCTTTTTAGAAGTAAATGCTATTTTCACTTATCCATATCAAGTTGCAACTTTAATTGTTCTTATCTGCACAGAAATATCCCCGTCTATAAATCGGCCCATTCACTGCAACCATATGGCCTAGACTCCAGAGAAATGAAGTTGGAAGCTTGTGCCCCTAAGCCGTCCTAATACCAGGCCTGTGCCATTCCTCTCTGGGGGGTTTTCTTCTGTCACCTGGGGGAGGCCAGGGCACTCATTGTTTTCCCAGTTTCCCCTGAAATGCCTCCTGCAGAGGGCCTCCAGCCCCGCCACAGAGGAGGAAAACCCAGCAGGGGAGAGTTAAGAGGGGCAAGCACCAGGCCGCCTGAGCTGCTCTCCCCCTGGGGCAGGTCAAGTTCCAATGATACACCCATTCAGAGCAAGGGTTGGCTTACTTGAGCTGTTGCTCTCGATCTTCTGCAGTGTTCTCAGAACCTTGTGTATGTCCTTCATGCTGGTGTCTCTCTGGCTATATAAGAGAAGCCGCTGAGCATCTGAGAACAGGCGAGACACACTGCAGGGAGCACAAGAAAAGCAGAAAAGCTCTGTTAGGCCAGCTGCCTCTCCCATGTGAAGGAAACCTGGCTGCCGGGTCCTCTTCTCCTGCTGCTCCCCATGCCCAGCTTCCTGATACTCTAGGCTTCTAAACACTCCCAGGCCAGCCCCAAATGCTCCTCCCCATGTGTCCACCAAATCCTGCCACTTCTTTCAAGGCCCAGCCCATGTGCCTCATCTCCAGGAAGCACCCCCCTCCCCCACACACACACACACTCCCCCAGGGCCCACTTATCCATGAGACACAGTGGGCATAGTACCTAGGACTCAGACTACCCTTAGGGTCCACAGAAAAAAATTAATTTCTTTTAGAAGCAGAATAAAACCCCAAATTCAGAATGAATATGTATAAGATGAATCCAGCTTGGGTTATATTCACCTTTAGACTGACACACTTATGAAATAAAGTTTTTAATATTTCTGCATAGAAGGGGCCATGAAAACTACAATACCCATGGTCCATGGATATTATAACGTGGCCCTGCAGCTTCCCCAGGGCTGTCTGGGTACACTTCCTACAGTCCATTCTAACTCCGACCATGGTCTGTGCATTCCAGGAATCTGTACTGGCTCATTCGGCAAACACTTACTAAACCCATACTGATGTTCGGTGTTGAAGTCGGGAGTCAGGAATACAAAAGTGAAGGGAGTGACATCCTGGCCCTCAGGAAATTCACACCAGGGAAGAGAAAGACCAGGCAGTGGCAGTATGAGAGGCACCGACAGAGAGAGAGCTGATCTGAGGACAGAGAGGGCCTTGGCTGTGAGCTGGAGAGCAGGCCCCTTCCGTGCACATCTCTTACCTACCCCTCCCCAACACCTAGGCCAGGCGGCTCAAATGCACAGAGAATGTCTGCTAAATGAGTGAACCGACACATGGAGCAGAGGTCTCCCCAGAGGAGACCAGCACACCCCTTGTCTTCCCTTCCCAACATAGTCAGTTTTTGGAGGAAAACTGTCTCTCTACACCCCTGACCACCCCCCAGACACATGACTTGTAGCTCCACAATCTTAAATCTGGCAGCAATTCTCCCTGCCCTCATTCTTCAGACTTCATTGCACAAACCTTGACGAAAGCAACTTCAGAATTCTCCAGAGGTTGAGAAGGGAAGAGAAGAACTAACTGACAAGTTTGGGAAAGAAAACCTGACCTGGTACTTACATGGATTCGTTAAAGTTTCCGACGACGCCCGGAGCCTCCCCAGGAGTTGGGTACCGGAAACACGGGTTATTGGCGTTGCAGATAATCCCCTGGACCCAGGGAAGTGTTCCTGCGGAGGGCATGGCTTTGTTTGGAAAGTGGCCTGTTGACATAGAGAAGAAAAGCACAGGAGAAACATCAGTTCTTTGAAGCAGTTTGGAGACTTGATCCTTATCTCTATTAGCTCCATACCGTATCATCAATCATCTCATCGCAAATCTGCCTGTCCCTCCCCCATGTCCCAGAGACCTGCCACCTCCGACTAATCCGACCCTGAGTTGGAAATCAGGTTCTTGATCTACTTAACATCATGTGTAGAATGGGATTTGTGGCACAAACCTTGGAGACATGGTGAGAGGGGTAGATTAGACCATATGCAGAATGGGACTGGTGTGCAGCTAGCACCTGATCATCAGTTCATCTCCTATTGTCCCTCTCACTCTTCAGAGGGGCCTTGAGGATGGCCTAATCCATCGGTTCTCAACCTGTGGGTCGCGACCCCTTTTGGGGTCGAACGACCCTTTCACAGGGGTCGCCTAAGACCATTGGAAAACACATATATAATTACATATTGTTTTTGTGATTAATCACTATGCTTTAATTATGTTCAATTTGTAACAATGAAAATACATCCTGCATATCAGATATTTACATTACGATTCATAACAGTAGCAAAATTACAGTTATGAAGTAGCAACGAAAATAATTTTATGGTTGGGGGTCACCACAACATGAGGAACTGTATTAAAGGGTCTTGGCATTAGGAAGGTTGAGAACTACTGGCCTAATCCAATGCAATTCCTTCATTTTCTAAGGAGGAAACCAGCAAGATGCAGTGGCTGGTGAAGAACAGTCAGGGAACCCATGGGCAGGACTGGGGGTGGAACCCACAATTCCGTCATCCACATCCATGCTCCTTCCCTCATATTGGCGCCTCCCTGTGCACCTAAACCCTTCTCAGATTCCTATGTACTGTCCACTGTTTGGTGTCACCTCCTCTGCCAGCTCACAAGCTCCTCAGAGGCACTTAATAAACAGGCTAATTGGGGTCAGAGGTCATCTGCTGCTCGTGTCCCTCATCGAAACCATGATGACCTCATGACCCATTCAATAGGTCATCTCCTCACTCTCCTTTCCCTTCATTATGGAGGAGCATGTGACCAACAGCAGGACTAGGTGTACTTGGCTGATCAAAGGCACAGTTTGGTTTGGGGCAGTCTGGCCTGGTGCTGCTTCTAGGATATCATGATAAATGTGCCCCAGAGCAAGAGCTCCTAACCTGAGGACCAAACATGTGTGAATTCCTTTGGACAGAAAGGCTACGCTGCAGCTCCCATCATATTCTCAGGGTGATCTGTGACCCCAAATAGTCAACCATTGACAGCCATGGCTCTCTAGGCAGCAAAGAACTGTGGGCTCCACAGACTTTGGGGTCAGACCTACTGGGATTCACATCCAGTCCCTGCAATACACGAAGCAGAGACTTTGGCCAAGTCACTGAACCACCAACTCTCATTTTCCTCATCTGTAAAAATGGTGATAAAAATACAGTCTACTTCACAGGGCTGCAGGAGACATCCCAGGAGTTCTGACAGGCAAAGCACGCAGCTCAGTGCCTGGCACAGTGTAAAGGCTGTCAGGATTACTGAGGCACTGCGGTGATGAGCCTACAGTCGCCCTCACTCTGCTACTGTCCTGCTAGGAATACTCCAAATCTCACAGCCACAACCTTCCTCCAAAGCAGGACCCCTGTTTTATTCATCTTACTATTTTCATGCAAATATGCTAACAAGAGTCTTCCCAAAAGCTAACCCACAGCTAGGACTAGCTAACCTGCATTTCAGTACTGGAGCACTTCTCTCCATCCTTTTCTTCTATTCATATTCCAACCTGAGAGTCAGCATCCTCAGCAAGGATGTAACAAGATCTGATCCCTGTGGCCACTCCGCAGGGACTCTGGCCTGTTCAACATTTACTCAGTTAACCTCCTTATCTCCCTGGTAATAGTTCAAGGAAAACCAAACAAGGTCCCTTGCCTGAGTCAGCTGCTCCTCATGCAGGAGATTTATGTAACCAAGTACTCCAAGGACCGCAGGAGTCTGCCCTTTAACCTCCCCAAGATTCCACCACCACGGACAGGGTGGGTGTTGGTCCAGCAGCACAGGGCCATGGAAGGTGAAGGTATTTCAGGCGATACCTGGTGGGTGAAGCAAAGACTCTTCCCTGTGTGTTGTGTCCCACTTTATTTGCAAGCAAAAGCAGGAAGATGACTTGGCAAGGGTGCACAGGATGACGATCAAAGAGCATAATGGAATCCTAGGACCCAGGAAAGTAATGAGGGCCTGGATGGCTCTGGGTCAAACAGGGAAAGATTAATGGGGATGAATTATATGCAAATCCTTTGTTCCCAGAGACAGTACAGCTCTGCAAGATTCGTCTAAGCAATCTACCTTCCACCCGGGTCCCTAGAACAGTAGGTGAGGTTGCAAGAAGTGCATAGGTGGGAGGCAGACGTCTTATCTGCCTTCTATAGGTATGAAAATTCCACAGCACTTCTGAGAATCTATGGCCTAGATTCAGATGACTCTGGGTTAAAATTCAACAACCTGTTCAAATCACAACCCCAGCAGGTGTCAGAGATAAGAGAGGCAGCAAACCAGAGGGGCGGACCCCAATTTCTGTCTGATCCAAAGTCGGCCTGTTCCTACTACACCATCTTGCCTACTTGGGATCATTCCAGAGAGAGAACAGCCAAGCAGATGAAAAAACTGAGTTTTCCCACCTCAGTGGGGCCTAGGGCAATGCTTAAATAAAATCAAATATGCAATTACTCATCAATCTTTGGGATTCCAAAAGCGAAGACAGAATTACCTCCCAGGCTCTCAAACTGAGTGTGCATTTCATTCTATATTTTTTCCCTCTCTGGTGAAATCTGAAAATCACATCTGGTAGAATGTTCCTGAGGTTGTGTGGCATTTTTTCTAAAACTCGAGTGTATGTAATGTGTACTAGCAAATTAGCAGGTAAAGGCCTGCCTCAATGTGCCATGGACCAGACCAAGAACACAATTAACAGGTGACCCGAAGCCACCCCTTTCCTGAAGAACAGTATCCTATAAGTCCATATGTGATAGAAACATGATATATTATACCATTACATATCCCATAAGTCCAGGAGGCTAGCAAGGTGTGGGGAGAGCTGGTTAATGAGAGAGAAAGTTATAGGAGCAATGGAACAGAGGTTCCAGCTAAACCTTCTACATAAATGTGGATCATTCTGGGACATTTCTGTAGTGTCAATCCATCCAGCCTACCCAGCCAGGAGAGAAAGACGTGATTGTGGAATAACAACAACCGATAGCTTAGGGATTATTATTATGAGAACACTCAGGTACCAAGAAGCTAAGTCGCTTGCCCAATGTGATATACCCAGTAATTGCTGAAGCCATAATTCAAACCCAAGTAACCTGACATCTAGAGCGTGTGTCCTTGGCCACCATTGTATTCTCTATGCTCACTATAAAGGCTACGATCAAAACACAGGATTTGGGAGTCAGAGGACCTGAGCTTTTTACTTCATCTCTGTCACTTACTAGATGTGTGACCTTGGGCAAGTCCCTGCCCTTCGCTGAGCCCCAATGAACTTATCAAGCAAAGGGTAATAATCAAGTCTATTTTACAAGGTTGTTATGAGAATCAAATAAAATAATATTAGTCGATCTGAGAAGCTCTACGCCAGTGGTTCTCAACCTTCCTAATGCCGCGACCCTTTAGTACAGTTCCTCATGTTGTGGTGACCCCCAACCATAAAATTATTTTCATTGCTACTTCATAACTGTAATTTTGCTACTGTTATGAATCGTAATGTAAATATCTGATATGCAGGATGTATTTAGGCGACCCCTGTGAAAGGGTCGTTCGACCCCCAAAGGGGTCAAGACCCACAGGCTGAGAACCGCTGCTCTACGCAAATGCTTCTTAGAATTACTAGTATGTTCCATGATTTGCACCTGTGCAATAAAGGCAGCTGACGGTGGTATCAAGGCACTGCCCTAGGGACCTTTGTTAATCACCATGTTCTGAACTATCAGTAAGGTTATTTTCATGATTTAAAATGTGCGAAACAGACATTGGCTATTATTATAGTTACTATTATCACCATTCCCTAGGATTGAGAATCGTTTCCTGAGTTCAGGACTTACCCAAAACTTGACAGCCTAGCTTTTCTGCTCCAACCCATTTACAGTGTTTCCTAAAGATAGTGTCTCAGGGGAGGTCAAATTTAGCCCATGCCCATGGCCTGGATCTCTATTGCCAGTGGAGAGCCTCAGGCAGGATGCTCAGATACTCACATTCATGTTGTTCATAGGGTGGGTAGCTCAGCCGAACGGAGATCAGGATCAGGAAGATAAATAGAGGCCAGGCCACTTCCAGCAACAACTGACACTGAGAGGGAAATAAGACAGAGCACTGTGAGTTTAAACAGTAATACGGATGCCTGACACTTTGGGGCTTTGGGAAATCCACAGAGAAATTAACTCAGCAATTGATCAACTTCTACAGTCTCTCCCACCACTCTCTAAGCTTTCATACCACTTTACTGTCTGCAATTCTCACCTTGTGACATACTATTCCAGCCCTCCGCGTTTTCCTTGAGAAAGGGAAGACGCTGCCCATCCTATGACTCACCCTATGTCTCTGGCTCATTTCTGCTCATTCTGCAAGTCTCAAACAGACATAATGTCCTTCTCCTGAGCTCCCACAGGAACCGTGCCCCTGAAATCATCTGATTCGATCACTGGTTTCCTCACAGCAATATGAGCTCCCTGCAGGCAGGCCCTGGGCCCAGTCATCTCTGTATCCCCAGCATTAGCACAGTTTCAGGCACACAATGATGTTCATTTATTGGAAGAGGAAGGCCAGGGCCACCGGGCCTTGCTGTGCTAAATGCACACCACCTCAGTTCCTCAAATGCACACAAAGTCGCCCTCCCCCCTCCCCCATGAGGCTGAGAAGAGGGTTCCAAAGGACAATGGAAATTCACACAGAATTCCACATTGACCTCCACACACCCAGGACTAGAAAGAGCTGGGAAGAGTGCAGAGTGCAAAGACCTCCATCCAGCAAGATCTGGTCAACATCTTCTCCAGTGGGTAGACGATCATTAAACGTGTAAGTAAGTCCGATCCACAGGTTAAAGCAACGAGGTTTCTCTAAAGGAAAACCCTGCCTCAATGAGTTACCAAGGGATAAATAAAGCACAGGGACAGGATGGAAATCATTGGACAGAATTTAATTGAACCACTGGTGTTCAGACAACTACAGATGCTCCTCTTCTTACAATGGGGTATGTCCCAGTAAATCCATTGTAAACTGAAAATACTGTAGGTCGAAAATGCATTCAATACATCTAACTATTGAACACCATAGCTTAGCCTACCTGACTTAAATGTGCTCAGAACGCTTACCTTAGCCTACAGTTAGGCAAAACCATCTCATACAGTGAATACACTGTAGGGTGTGGGTTGTTTACTCTTGTGAATGTGTGCCCAGCTGGGAGCTACAACTTACTGCTGCTCCCAGCATCACGAGAGAGACCGTACTGCAAATTGCTAGCCCAGAAGAAGGTCCAAATTCAAAGTATGGTTTCTACTGAATGGGTATCACTTTCGCAGCATTGTAAAGCCGAAAAATTGTTAGGTCAAACTATCATAAGTTGGGGACCATCTGTAGTTACACTGCCTGAAGGCTGTCACCTCTTTCTTCCTCTCATTTCTAGACTGTGATGTTCTAATTAGGATGAACATCAAGAGCCCAATAGAGTGATGAGGCCTGTGGTTAAGAGTAATTACAACTGTGGCTTCAGTACCATAAAACCAAGAGACACTGGTATAAAATCTCCCTCCCTATTCTCTTTTAATAGAATTCTTTTCTTCACCCTCAAGACCATATATATTTTTTGTAGAAAAATCAAAATTAAAAAAATGTTTAAGTAGATATAAACCACCCCAGTCCTACTTGACAGCAAGAATCCCTACTAAATTGAGCTAACAATGGTTCTCTGTTAACCTTTTTTGTCTTTTATTCTATGCATACATAAATAATATTTTTTCTACAAAATTGAGATTAGATATCATATATAGTTTTATATTTTGCTTTTTTATTTAGCATCATGCTGGGAGTGTTTTCCATTATATACAATATTCTCCTAAAATATGGGTTTTAATGACCACTTAATATTCTACACTGTGAATGGACTGTAATTAAGTTAACCTTTCTGCTGATTGCTGGTGCTTCAGATTGTCTTGGGGTTTCTCTTTATTATTTATTGTTGGATTTTTGGAATTTTAAACAGCCCATTTTTAATTTGCAAACGCCTTTGATATAGTTCCGCATTAACCTTTTAAAAAAATCTTCCATTTGAAAAGCAATATAAGGGTGATAACAGTGTATGTCCTGAGGTGATAAGAAAATGGGTAATTTTTTAAATGCTTTCCTAAATTTTCCATAAATGGAACAAAACAAAAAAAAACCACCATTAGCCTCTAACTATGAGGAATAGTATATTATAGACAGCACACCAGGAAAAACATAAAAGACAAATGGGTCCCTCTTTGAAAGAAGGCATGCTGTGACTAGGGTCTCCAAGACCAAAGGTCTTCTCACTAGGCCTACCACACCCTGAGAGCTTAACAATGCTTGTTGAGTAAGAGAATGAACTAAAGTTTATAAAATAAGGAAGATGGAAATACAAATCAATTGAGCCCTTTGGGAAAGCAATTTGGCCAAATGTATCAGAAGACATGTTTATCTCCTTTGACCAAATAATATGACTGGGGCTATGACCTATAGAACTAAAATTCAAAATGTCAAAAAAGCTACATATATGTATTTGTTCACTGAAACACTATAAATGAAAAATACTAGAAATAATTGCACAGCACTAGGGAGATGATTAAATTATGGTACATCTACTCAGCAATTCAGTAGGCAGTCATTACAACAATGTTTATGAAACACAGATACTGTTAACCATATAATATTAAGTGAAAAAAGCAGCACACAAAATTATATCCATTCCAAGCTTACAGCTGAATAAAATCACAACTATCACCCAGACAGGACTAAAACTTGTTAAAAATGGCATAACTGGGGATAAATTCAGAAAAGAATAATAAACTCAGAAAAAAAGTAAATGAAGAGGATGAGCAAGATTGCATCAAACTTAAGTTCTGAAACTACCATTTGTGCTTTTAGGATAAACAGTAGCTACCATTTATGTAGTAGGCACACCATATACAGATTATTACACTGAATCCAAGGCTAAAGCTCAAGGGAGGGTCGTCATAGAGCTGGTCCATGGCAGGGTTGAGATTAGCAGCCACTTCTGTCCAACCCCAGAGGCCACATATAAAATTCTATTTGACACAGGAAGTGCCCAGGTGGGACATGACTGCACTAGGTGACATGATCAAAAAAATCCGCAGGTTCCACAGAGGTAAAATGAACTCATGGCCTATAGATTTATTACAGCTTCAGGCAATACTGAGCACTTACTGTGTACCCAGGATTTTTATACATCTCATCTCTTACATTTAGTTCTCACAATAACTCTGTGAGAACGGTTGTATGATTATCACTCCAGAAGTGAAGAAACTATGGATCAAACATGTTATGAGCCACAGCCTGGTAAGGGGAGCCCCCCAACACTGGCACCCAGACCCACTAACCCCTAGATCTGTCTGTGTGCATTCATCACGCCTCTCCTAGAGCCATGTTCAGGCCACACACCCTTTAAGATGGCCACTTCGTCTATGGCTCACCAGCCTGAGCACAGACCTGACCCAATGAATCAAGCCTAATGTTCCCGGGCATCTCTGCAGCCCCCACATCTAGGACCCTGTAGGGCAGCAGATGCTCAAAATAGTTGGTTGACTGGCTCTTCCCCATGGCACTGATAGCAAAGGGAAAAAAATCTGCCAGTGGGTGTAAGCAGATATGAAAAAGAGATAAGAAAAAGACTGATAATAACAATAATGGTGCACACTTAAACAGATCTTATTAAATACCAGTGTTCTAAGTACTTTACATATATTAACTCAGTTAACCTCCAAACAACCTCATTAATACTAATATTATACTCCTTTTACAGATAAGAACACAGGCTTAAAGAGTTACTATACTGGCCAAGGCTGTAAGGTTGGTAAACAGCAGAGCCAGGATTCAAAGCCAGTCTGATTCAAGGGTCCCTGCTCTTAGCCACTAAGCACCACTATTACGAGAGTATCTAGATTACTGATCTTTCAAACTCCTTGGTAGCCTGAGTTACTAAAATGTATGAATGAATGAAGAGATTGCCTCCAAAGCTCATACTACCCAAACCAGAAAACTCATGGAGAGAAAAAAACTTAATCCATGCCCTTTTACTATACACCTCTAAAATTATACGTGTCATTCAACAAAAAATTCACCTTACAAACTCAGGGGGATGCTCTAAGCTTTTTTTTTTAAAATCCTCACCCAAGGATATGTTTTTATTGGTTTTTAGAGAGCGGGGAAGGGAAGGGGAGAGAGAGAGAGAGAAACATAGATGTGAGAGAGAAACATTGATCAACTGCCTCCTGTACTCGCCCCAATGGGGTATCACACCCAAAACCTAGGTATGTGCCCAGATTGGGGATCGAACCTACAACCTTTTGGTGAACATGACGATGCTCCAGCCAACTGAGCCACTCGACCAGGCTAGGCATTTCTTTTCCTAATAGTCTCCTTCTAGAAACCTAACTGCCAGGCTTCCCATTCTGGCTCTACTCATCATCCAAGTAAGATTTCTCCCATCCCTAGACTTAGCACTTTTCCTTCACATAGTCCCTCAGAAATACCTTGGAAATAAAACTGATGCTTTACTGTTATAGACCCCTATAGAAAACTCTTCTAAATCTTGTTTTGGTACCTACGCACCCACCTCCACATCTCTCCCCCCCGGAGAGGAACACTGTTTTCAAAAGGCGTTTCTCACCAAAGTCAGACCCTCAGGAGCCTCCCTTTAGTGTTGGGTGTTAAAATAGTACGTAATTCTGATGTTTAAGTGATTGCTACACTGAGCTGCTCTGGGAGCACCAAAGGCACCACTTTGTGTCTCTGACTCATCACTCCTCAGCTCTAATATGGGATGCTCCAAGCGAACACCTGGAGAGCAGGTGCTATTCTCAAGAGCAGCACTATTGACACAGGTAACTGTTGAGGGGACTCTCCTGTGAACTGTAGGATGCTCACTGCATCCATGTACTCTAACAACCAACCCCACCCAGGGCAGTGACAACCAAAAGATGTCTCCAAATATCACCAAATGTCCCTGGGGCATTACATAAGGATAGGATACTTTTTAGAACTTGGTAAGGTAATAAGATTTAATGGGAAAGAGAAAGAGATGAAATTATCAAAGA